CCCACTTCACACCATCCCAGCACAGTGATAGCCGACACCATACACCATGACATCTGCAGCAGGAACACACCCGTCAGCACTGCGCCCGCTTTGCCAGCACTGCCCCGTCTATCTATATTTAAACATGCTATTCTGTTATCTCTAGGTTGGAGGTATTGTTCTGTGGTAGAATGTTTAGCCTGAAATGCCTGAGGGCTCCAAGTTCAGTTTCCAGAACAAAAAAAAAAGAAAATTGCCTTTAAACCTACCTTTGAGTTTTGAATCCCTTATAGAATATGCAGACTTCTGTAACCTTTTAAAATATAAAATTAATAAATTATTCCCTGTAACATTAGAAAAATTTGAAATAGTCTATTATTTTAAAAATAAAAGCTGGGCAGTGGTGGTGCACACCTTTAATCCCAGCACTCGGGAGGCAGAGGCAGGAGGATCTCTGTGAGTTTGAGACCAGTCTGATCTACAAGAACTAGTTCCAGGACAGGCTCCAAAGCTACAGAGAAACCCTATCTCAAACAAACAAACAAACAAATAAATAAAAATAAAAATAAATAACTTTCATAATGCCATCATCTGAAAGCTATCTTAAAAAAAAAAAACAAACAAAAAGCCACAAGTTCTGACAAGTTTTATTAGAGGAAAACTTTATCCATATACTTTATATGAGTTTGTCCTAGCACGCTTCCAATAGTAAGAGAATGCCCTGAGTACTGGCAGCTACTCTATAGCAGTGAAAAGTATTGAAAGCTATCTTTAAAAGGCAGGGACCATCTCAAGGAGAAGTGGGAAAAGGGGAGGTTAGAAGTGTGGGGGGAGAATAGAAACAAAACACACTATATAAAATGCCCTAATGAATACATACCAACAGTGAAAGCATAGAAAATGTAGCTTTCCTATTCAGAATGTATTAGCTCTTAATATTTAAACTCACTTCTAAACCAAAAATTTAGAAAAAAATTCTCTTATTTTCCCACATTTGAAAAAAACCAATGTAAATGATTACTATGTGCATGGGATCAGAACCAGAAAGTTACCCCATAATTTGTCTAATAATGCTTGAAAGAAATAAGAGGCTTCAAGCCAGTCTTGGTGAGAACTGTGGGATGTCTTTCTGTACATTGTGAATATGTGTTGCCCTCATTAGATGATAAATTAAGTTTCCTTGGCCTATGGCAAGGCAGGATAGAACCAGGTGGAAAATCCTGTCAGAGATACGGGAGAAGAAGGGTGGAGTCTGAGAGATGCCAGCCATCTGCAGAGGAAGCAAAACATGCAGAAAATGAGATAACAAGTCATGAATCATGTGGCAAAACACAGATTAAAAAAAATAAGGGTTAATTGTAAGAGTTAACTAATAATAAGCCTGAGCCATCAGCCAAGAATTTAAAAGTAATATTGAGCCTCTGAGTGGTTATTTGGGAACTGGTGGGGGAGCAACCTCCAATCACAACAGAAGATGGAGGCAGAAGGACCGCAAGTACAAGCAGTGCCTGTGCTGCAAAATAAAAGCAAAGCTAGGGCTGGGGAGGCTGTCAGCAATAAAGCCCATTCAGCTTTCGCAGGCTCTACTTCAATTCCTAGTGTCAAAGGGATGGGAAAAGGGCAACTTTTAAAGCTACTACAACATTAGCAAGTAAAACAAAAAGAAACCGACATAACTTTTACTGCATTGCATGCATCTCCCTGCCAATGGCATATATCCATAAGGACATTTCTAAATGTAAAGAAAACTAAAGGGTAGGAGGAAGTACTTAAAGAGGTTTGATAATTTTGGAAAGGAATTCTAGGTACTCTCAAGGATGTAGACGGTTGGTAAGCTTGGTTTTTGAACACATCTAAGAAACCCCATGTTGTTTTCTATTTCCTTACTTCAGATATGAAACTATGAGGTACGATTTTCTCAGTCATGATTTTCTTTACGGATTCACAATGGAACAAAGAGCAGGCAAGACATGCCGTGTTACTAGTGACATGAACTGCACTACACACAGGATCTGTAGAAATGCTGTCGTATGTGACTATCAAATTATTATAAGGTAGTTTATACTCATACTGAGACTGGTTAAGATACTGAAGCTAACTGATCCCAAGATGCTGATACACGCCGTAATTACAGCATTCAGGAGGCTAAGGCAAGACTGCAAATTTGAGGCCAGCCAGGGCTACATAGTCCGACTCTGTTTCCAAAATAAAATAAAACAAACAAATGAAGCTGGAAGACTGAGCACATAACCCCTGACAGCCTGCTTGCTTTTGTGAAAGCCCTGGGAGTCATCTCCAGTGCTGAAAATAGTCTCGTGCAAAAAAAGAAAGAAAAGAGAAAGCTTTATAAACTGAAGTTGAGAGAGACAGGCCCGACGGCTCGACAGAGGTGGAAGTGGAGTGTGCGATTTATGTCTGTGTCTCTAATGTCACACTCCTTCCAATTCTGGCACTTCACTGCTGAAAAATTTCAAAGCTGAAAACAGGAATAAAGATTAAATGTGGTGGGAGAGAGAAGAAAAGAGTCAAGGAAACTTTCCTTAAGTAATGAGGTCAGAGGAGGAAACGGGAAGAGGAACTAAAGTACTGTGCATGCTCCTGTTCGAGACACTGTGTGCAGTGACAGGGAGGTCTGTGCCCCAGCACTAAGGGAGCCCACAGCCTGCACATTTCAATCTCCCTGGTGAATTCAGTTAAGGACACAGCAGGAAGTATTTGCCTGAGAGGACAGCATTTATGCTAATGAGTCTCCCATAGAACAAGAATTCCACACATCTTCCAAAACTGCTTTCAGAATCAGCCTTTGGACAAGGAGGCGAGGTTCTTAGTGGCCACATCTTACTTCTGACTACAGGGGACAGCACAATTGAACACGGTGTGCAGCAAAGGGCTCCAAAACTACTTACGACTACCTACCCCCTCTTTTCCTTAGACCTGTGATTTTGGTGTTAATTCTCCTTTTACATTTTCTCGCCCCATCTGTAAAGCCACTACTATTTTTACTGTGCGGATCAGAATCCTGGGCTTGAAGATATCAAGCACCCTGCCCAAGGTACTCTCATCTCCCCTAAGTGATCCCCAGAAGTCCTCCCACTTCCGAGAACAAATTAAAGTACAAACCTGAGTTTCTGTCCCATGGAGATAATAAATTTAGCATCTTTTACAAGAACAGAAGCAGCCTGCTGCACACCTTTCCTTGTTGCACAAAACTGAAAATAAATTAGTGAATTTTCTATCAATCAGGTTAAAAACTGAATATCACACACAAAACCAGCAACTAATAATCCATACCACAAGTGTGGGCTTCTGATCGGAGTAAGTCCGTATAACACTGTAAACTTTATAGTTGAGGGCTAAGTCAAACTTAAATTCAGTTTGGTTACTGCCACAGGGAAAGCCCAGGACCACTTTCTGAAGTTTCACAGGTCTGTGGCTCTCATCCATTTTCAGACACACAGCAGGCCTCTCACCATCCGAAAGCCACTCTGCGATCTGGGAAAAAACAGAAGCCTGCGCATTACATTCTATTTTCTAGAAAGTTCTATAGCTAAAAAGTTAGATCACTTTAAAGTCAAGTTCTAAAAATACTTAATCAAATCATTGCTTGTCAACATTACATTTTTCCCTGCTACTACTTTATAGATATGTTAGTAAATGCTACCACCAAGAACAGTGTTTCAAGATCATAAACACTCCACATGGCGAAGTTCTGACAAGTTGTTAGTTTTTTGCTTTACCTTCCCCTATAAGAGCCCAAAGTAGAATTAAAATCAATTTGGTCATAAAAATCAAAGTTCCCGTGGCACCATAAGCACTGGTAATTGTTCAGAACTATCCGTAAACATGACTGAAACCTTTGAACTTCCTTAAATACTAGCAAAATCATAGCAGAGCTACCACCCAAAATATGTTGTTCTTCTAATGAAAGAACAAATAAGCTTTTTAAAAAATAAACAATTAATAAAAACAATTCATTTCAATAATTAGTAAAAACAATTCATTTTAATTAATCTATTATCTATTATTTGTGTGTGTTGTCTGCCTAAGGGGGCCAGAAGAAGGAGCTGGAGTCAGTGAGGGTCCTACCCTGAGCGCTGCAACTGAACTGAGGTCCTCTGAAGATCAGGAAATGCTCTCAACCTCTGACCCACTACTCCAAACCCCAAATAAACTCTTGAGAGATGACAGTGCCAGAAATGCATTCACACCCATTATTAGAATTACTAATCAGCTCCTGAATCTGGGGTATGAGGTCCGCATCCTTCCATACTCTAGTTAGTAACTGGGCTCCATGTCTTGCCATGAAACTGGCTCTTGCTGGGGAAAGGTTTCTTGTACAGGCAGAAATATAGAAATAGTTGCAAGATTATTATGAGACAGAATCTGAACACACAGGAATGTGCAGTTCTGGAGAAGTGGGTGGCCAAGGATAAAGATTATTATTTTAGAGGAAAATTGAGAGAAAGGACAAGAAAAACAAAATGAAACTGGTGTGGGAGGTCCTTCTGTCTATGTGTTGCTTTTATTGGTTAATGAACAAAGATACTGGCTTAGTCTGATAGGGTAGAACAGAGCTAGGCAGAGAGAACAAAACTGAATGCTGGGAGAAAGTAGGCGGAGTCAGAGAGAAGCCATGGAGCCCGCTGAAGTCAGATGGAACTTTAGCCGGTAAGGTACAACCACATGGTGATACACAGATTACTAGAAATGGGTTAAATTAAGATGTAAGAGTTAGCCAACAAGAAGCTAGAGCTAACGGGCTAGGCAGTGTTTTATATAATATAGTTTCTGTGTGATTATTTCGGGAGTCTGAACAGTTGGGAAATAAACAAGTGGCCTCTTCCTTATTACATGAAAGCAGTGTTCACAGAACCAGTGATTACCACAATGAAGAAAGTTTTAAGAAAAGAATGTGATGGTATTTTTATAAGAATTGCTATAAACCAATAAAAAAAAAAACGGTACCTCAAGGTGAAAAAAGGTAAAGGGTATCACAGATTTGGTTTTAATGTAGTTGGCACTGATTTTTTTTAACTGAGCGAAGTATATTAATATTGCCAACTACATTAAAACCAAGTCTGTGATAAAAAATAAAACCTACTGCAAGGTGACTATGTCATTGTGAATGCTGTCCCTAGAGAAGAGGGACATTGGTCTTACAGAGGAAGTCCTGTTAGAAAGGGTGAATCTAGTTAGGTTTGGTGCTGCAGGTCCAAAATCCCAGCGATTTGTGTGGCGGTGGTAGGAAAAATATAAAATTTAAGGCCTGCCTGAGCTACAGGGTGAGACAATGTACTGAGAAAGAATGTAGGGGATGTACACCAGGGCAGAGTACTTCCCTGGCATCCTTGAGGCTGGAGGTTCAGACAAAAGAGCAAGTCTGACCCCAAATCTCTTTGGCTCACTAGGAGCCATTTGTCACGTTATGAAGTAGCCAGGAGGGCAGTCAGCAGGCTGAACAAATGAGGTCGCTCAATCTTAAACCCCTATAGATTTCAGAGACCAGAGAAGCAGAGCTGTAAGCCACTAGATAGACCTTTTACCTCTACTAATGCTCAGATCAAAGGGGCAATCCTAAGACTACCTAGACTGCACTGTGTCTCCACCAAACCGCAGACTCCACACTCCAGTGAGTCCCTGTCACTTCCCCTTTATATTCCTCTTTCCACTCACCCATATCACTCCTGTCTCCACCTCCCTAGTGCCAGGATTAAAGGTGTATGACTCCCAAACATGGGATTAAAGTTGTGTGGCACCACTGCCTGGCGTCTAGTGTCTTAGCTTTGCACTCTGATCTTCAGACCAAGCTTTGTTTATTAAAATACAAAGAAAATATCACTGCAATTTATTAAGTGGCTGACTGAAATTTCCATCTCCTCTGAGATACTGAAACGTGAAGCAAGTGAAGACTGTGACTTACATCCTCAGCATTGGGAATGGTTGCAGACACAGCGACAAATCTCATAGGGACAGGGCTGTCATTCTGTAAAGCCCTAGATGAAGACTGGACAGTTTTCATTCTGCTAACAACAACCTCAAGAGTTGGACCACGGTTTTCATCTTTTATAATATGCACCTAGGTAAGAAATCAAGAGGGAATCATTAGATATAAACCAAAAATTTAATTAGTCAATCAAAATATTCAATATTAATTTTTTCCTTGAAAAAATACATATTTTCCAATTTGAAGAACTAAAACATTATTTTACTGAAAATATCATTTCTTTCTATCCATTTTAAATAACATTCTATATTTATACCGAAAGTGAAGGCATTCACTACCTCATCAATGAGAAACAGTCGAACCAGCTGAACTAAAGAGTTGTCTCTCCACTTCCTGGTCATGCTGTCCCACTTCTCCTACAGGAAAAAACACAAGCACTTTATTCTAACAAGGAATTACAAGTATTGTTTAAGACACTGATAAATTTTATCAGACATATTACAAACAAGGAGAACATTTCAGTTGATTCCTTAAAATTTCCCCCAAAGAGTCGTGGATTAATAATTACAGAAGTGATTTTAAGAGTCCTAAAATGCAAGATCTCCAGTCTTTGAAATAATCACAAGTCAAGATCTAACTACGCGATCCACACTTGATGTGTGTGGGTGCTTTGTTTGCACTTATGTCTGTACAGCATGTGCATGTAGTGCCTGTGAAGACCAGAAAATGACACTGGGCCTCCTGAGAGGAGAGGAGAGGAGAGGGTGCTGGGAATCAAGCTCTGGTCCTCCAAAAGAGCAACCAAGGCTCCTACCCAGGGAACACCTCCCCAACCCATTGATTACATATATTAAAGTCCTGTCAAGGTCTTACTTCTACAACAACTTGGGCAAATGAATATAAGGTTATCCACAACTACAAACTGGCTGTTTACTCAGTGCTCACAGATGTGATCATTTCTCTTCCATGTTTTATCTATGGATATTCTCTCCATATCTTGGATAATAGTACTTTTATGGTAATTTGTCTACATTGCAAATACATGCTTGTACTTGGCATTTTCTTTTAACAATTTTTTTAATGAAGACAAACAAATTTATTTTCAAGTAAATAATTAAACAAATAATACTTACTGGAGTCGTCATAATTATATGGGTATGTTGAATCTCAAACAGGTCATCCATTACTGTATCTCCAGTAAGTTCTTTACAATTCAAGCCTATTGATCCAAATTTTTCTTTCCAGTCATCAAACCGCTGACTACAAAGGGCTTTTATTGGTGCCACTAAAATAATACATTTATTTTGAACACCAGGGCAAGTTTAAAATTGTTTTCTCAAGATCTAGTTAATAAAATTAGTCTATAAATAAGAATGTATTTATTATTGCTGTGTAATATTGGTAAAGTAACAAACACAGTAAGCTAAAACGTAATCACCAAGAAGAGCTAAGATTGAAACAGAAGTGGTCACTCAGGCAATCTAAAGATGGGGAGAGATGGACAAGTGATTATTGCTTTTTCCTATGAAGCCTTCTGTGATCAGTCACTTCTTTAAACTGGGTACATACACTATTTTGGGGAGTCTTATGAAATATACACCCAAAAGAGGAGAACAAATGTTTCTATACAAAACTCAACAATTGAGAAATAAATGATTATTTGCTCATTTTGACTGTCCTCTTTCTTTAAATGTAAAGTTCAAATTCTCAACTCAAATATTATTTTTTATATACAACTCTGAGAAAGGTGCTTCAAATTTAATATAACCGATGAAGCCAATTGTGGCATGTTCTTATTAAAATGTACAGAGGGCCAGGGCTACAACTCAGTGGTAGAGCTCTTACCTAGCACATGCAAGGCCCTCCCCAAGCTCAGCGTCTACACCAGAAACAGCAGCAGAGAAAGACCCTGTAGGCACTAAGCACTTGTCTGTAGGTTCATTCAGAGTACCACAAACACATAAATTCGTAACACTTCTTAATGTATGAGCTACCAAGCTACCAAATGATAATCTCTACGATCTGAATTGACTTCGTTTCTGCTTCAACTAATCAACATTTTATAGCACATACTCACTGTAAACAATCTTCATGTTGAGCCACGGCAATGGAACTTCCATTAACAACCTAGTTATTGCAAGTTCAAACACTACAGTTTTCCCAGAGCCAGTGGGGGCACAAATCACAAAATTCCTATCTGTGTAAAGAAGCTAAGAGAGACAACAGACAACAGATTATTAATATATAGAATTTTTATTTACATTCTCAATGTTCTGGAAAGCACGCTTTAAGATGAGGACCATTGCTTCACCTATGCTCACCTCCACAACTGCTAAGTGTGGTCCTGCGCTGGACACTTCACCCTCAAAACAACATACTCTGCCATAGCATACTATTTTGTTAAAATAAATGCTGGGCCTAAGAGAAAACCACTCCTTTACCCTTAAAAGAAATTATAATAATCTTAGCAAATACAAGCCAGTCCACCTATGTGACTCACATGCACTCATTTAACAAGGATTTCTAATCTCCTAAAATGTGCTAGTAATTGAATGTGCTGGTGACTATTCCCTCTCCTCAGAGACTCACAGTGAGAAGAGAAGATACATAAATAATTATAAAATACTTACATCATCAAAGGCTTTGGATTGTATATAGTTGAAGTAAGGGAATTCTTTGAATATACTCCTAAATTTTGCCGCTTAGAATAACATTAAGGAGTTAAATATTTCAGAATTTAGAAATGTTTACTCAGTTTTAATGTTATTGACCTTATCCAATGAGAATGTTTTAACAATTGCTGTTTTGGCATCTCAAGAATTAATGGAAGGGAGCTGGAGAGATGACTGGGTGGTTAAGAACACTTGCGGAGAAGTTGGGTTCAATTTCTAGCACCGACATAGTGGTTCACAGCCAAAGTTCAAGCTACACAGAACCTGACGCATTCTCCTGACCATTGTCAGGCACTGGGCACACATGTGGTACAACATGCACACATGCAGGCAAAACACACATACAAATAAAATACGATTTTTTTAAAGTTAAAAAAAGGAATGGGAATTATTCTACTCTGCTTCCACATTCCTTATTCTAAACATACCTGATATAAGGTATACAGTTTGAGAGTTAGCTGTGATGGAGACATGCCTGTTAGAGCTATTTTTGGTCTGTTTCTTGTCCTGACTAAAACACTTAATTTTTATGTTGTTTTTAATGTTCAAATTTTCATTTATTAACTGATTTTGACTGCATTTCATTAATAGGGGTGATTCTGGTTAACCTTGAATCTCTGCATTTTTATATTATTTGTGTTGTTTGATTTAATTATAATTATCAGCATATTTGCTCAGAAAAATGAACTTGGATTGTTACAAAGTTTAAAAATATTAACAGGACAATAAATAATTATCCCATCTCCAAGGTGAGGCACTACTGCCAGATTCAGGATATTTTAATGGCACTCTTTGTATCAAGTTGTAGCTGGTCAACTACATTTATTGGCACTATATACAGATGCTTTACTAGATGTAGGACACCACAGAAAAGGAGTTTCTACGAGTGAGGCCTTTAGGACGACTGTGGTAGGAACAGCGGCTCACTAGTTAAGAGTATTGTCGCTTTTGCAGAGAGCCCGAATTCTGTCCTTGCACCAAAATCATGTGACTCCCAAACACCTGTGACTCAGTTCCAGGGGATCCATTGCCTTCTTTTGACCTCTATGGACATCTTCACGCAGGTAGTCCGTATATAGACAAGCAGGTATACATACATAACATACACACAAATGAAAATATAAAACCTTTAAAACATATATTTGAAAGAACAAACAGTTGTCTAAAAAGTATTTTTATGAGGGATTTAAATACTCGTGGGTTGCTGCAGTAATGCTTTTAAAACAGATTATATGATTTTTCTGTCTAAATGCTCCCTTTCCCTCCAAGAAAATGGCACAAGGCCCTTCATCCCATCTCCCACCAGCCCTTACTGCTCTGCTTTCCGAGCCTCTTCTTCTGATTTCATACTCATCTCCTGCACTCTCCGAAGCATCAGCTTCACGCCTCCATGACATCATCAGCCTCACACTGCCATGACATCAGCCTCATGCCTCCATGACATCATCAGGCTCACACTGCCATGACATCAGCCTCAGGCCTCCATGACATCATCAGCCTCACACTGCCATGACATCAGCCTCATGCCTGCCCTGACATCATCAGCCTCACACCTGCCCTGACATCCTCCTCTGCCCCATGCCTCATTCTTCTCCCAACTTCCTTTTTTCTTCCATCTTATTGCTCACTTCTCGCCATGTTAGGTGTGTCCTGTTTGTTTTATTAAATTCTGTATCTTCAACCTTCAATTCCAACAGTCTCAATTTAATTCTTTTCCCACTCTACTTTTTTTTTCCCCACAGAACTCATCACCCTCTAAAATATCACATGACATTTTACACAGGTCTATTGTTCAGGCTCATCTCTCCCCACTGTTGGAATAGTAACTCAAGGACAAAGATTTACTCTCTTTTCTGAATGGCCGTATCCCACAAGTCCAGAACAATGCCTAACAATGTATGTTAGCACTTATTAAACCAAATGGTTAATTTCTAAATCTTCATTTTACTTCCTGCATGCTATAATATATACAGACAACTACACATACAAACACAAATGAAAATAAAAACTTTAAAAAACATATTTGAAAATATGTGACAAAAATCCCCACAAAATTTAGAGTTAGTCCATCAGCATTCTAAAGAATCACATTTTCCTGCAAGGAAGTTTTTCCATATAAAATATTTATTTATAACAAGCCTATGAGTGGCCAATCATGCTGGTTTTTCTCTCATTAAGTAGGTCTGCATCAATTTACATTCACAAAAGCAAATCTTTGATTTGGAGTACAGGCAGACTCAGTCTCGCAGTGCATAATAAACCTCAGTCATTAACTGCAGCATCTCTCATCATGGTGGGCACTCACCATCACATTTCTCTGTTGTTGCCGCACTACTGCAGTTACTGCTACACTGGGGATATCCACAACTGAGCTGGCCGTACAGCCACCAGAGCAATCTCACCAAGAGCAACATACTGAGAAAGAACTGCATATACACAAGTCTAAGCAACCCACAAACTCTTCTGTCTTTTACTTTGAATGCATACTTTTAAATAATGAAGTATAGCAGATCACTGGATCTGGCAGTATGTGAAGCTGGAAATAAGCCAGTGGATACAAATGCAGACAGCAGTCGATGTCTGTAGCACTGCTTCAGTGTGCTGCTTTAACATGAAAACTCTTTAAAACTTGTCAAAGGATAGTATTAAATATGAGCATGTTTCTAACAAAAGAAGAACTTCCCACCACTGAGATAATCAGAAAATATTTTAATTACACTTTTGAGATATAATTTTTTCCCTTCCCTCTTATCCCTCCAAAGACTTTCATATACACCCCGTCCCCAGCCTCCTTCAATCCATGGCCTCTTTTTCACCATCATTACATGCATATATGTGTATATACACTATAAATTTCTAAAAACTACCTGTATAGATTCAACGCAATGCCCATCAAAATCCCAGCAAAATTCTTCAAAGACTTCGAAAGAACAATACTCAATTTCATTTGGAAAAGCAAAAAACCCAGGGTAGCCAAAACAATCCTGGGCAATAAAAGAACTTCTGGAGGCATCACAATCCCTGACTTCAAACTCTACTACAGAGCTACAGTACTGAAAACAGCCTGGTATTGGCATAAAAACAGACAGGAGGACCAATGGAACCGAATCAAAGACCCGGATATTAATCCACATATCTTCGAACATCTGATATTTGATAAAGAAGCAAAAAATATCAAATGGAAAAAAAGAAAGCATATTTAACAAGTGGCACTGGCATAACTGAATATCAACATGTAGAAGAATGAAAATAGACCCATATCTATCATCATGCACAAAACTCAAGTCCAAATGGATAAAAGACCTCAACATAAAGCCAGGTACACTGAACCTATATAGAAGAGAAAGTGGGAAGTAAACTTGAATGCATTGGCACAGGGAACCACTTCCTAAATATAACCCCAGCAGCACAGATACTGAGAGAAACAATTAATAAATGGGACCTCCTGAAACTGAAAAGCTTCTGTAAAGCAAAGGACATGGTCAACAAGACAAAACGACAGCCTACAGAATGGGAAATGATCTTTACCAACCCTATATCAGACAGAGGTCTGATCTCCAAAACATACAAAGAACTCAAGAAATTGGACACCAAAAGATCACATAATCCAATAAAAAAAATGGAGTACAGACCTAAATAGAGAACTCTCAACAGAGAAATCTAAAACGGCTGAAAGACACTTAAGGAAATGTTCAACATCCTTAGTCATCAGAGAAATGTAAATCAAAACAACTCTGAGATTCCATCTTACACCTGCAGGAATGGCCAAGATCAAAAACACTGATGACAACTTATGCTGGAGAAGTTGTGGGGTAAAGGGAACACTTCTGCATCGCTGGTGGGGATGCAAGCTGGTACAACCCCTTTGGATGTCAGTGTGGCGATTTCTCAGAAAATTAGGAAACAACCTTCCTCAAGACCCAGCAATACCACTTTTGTGTATATATCCAAAGGATGTTCAATCGTGCCACAAGGACATGTGCTCAACCATGTTCATAGCAGCTTTGTTTATCATAGTCAGAACCTGGAAACAACCTAAATGCCCCTTGACCAAAGAATGGATAAGGAAAATGTGGTACATTTACACAATGGAGTGCTACACAGTGGGGGAAAAAATAACGACAGCTTGAATTTTGCAGGAAAATGGATGGAGCTAGAAAACATTATTTTGAGTGAGGTAACCCAGACCCAGAAAGACAATTATCACATGTACTTACTCATAGGTGGATTTTAAACATAAAGCAAAGAAAACCAGCCTACAAACCACAATCCCAGAGAACCTAGACAACAATGAGGACACTAGGAGAGACTTACATAGATCTAATCTACATGGGAAGTAGAAAGTAGAAAAAGACATAATCTCCTGAGTAAATTGGGAGCGTGGGGACCTTGGGGGAGGATTGAAAGGGGAGGGGAATAGCAGGGAGGGGAGCAGAGAAAAATGTAGAGCTCAATAAATATCAATTAAAAAATGTTAAGACAAAAAATATATAAAAACTGCCTGCTCCACCTGTATAATGTTAATTGTGTATATGTCTTCAGGGTTGTTGGCACTGAACAAACAATTGGTGTGTTCCCCCTCCCTACTTTCCTCAGCTGCCTACTGTTCTTCATGTAGGGTTAGGCTTCTTGGATTTTTCCATCCATGTTGCCACGTTTGTTGGTGGCATCCTTGTTCAGTTCATGTCTGGGTAGCCATGCTGCCCAAACTTTATGAGTACAGTTACTAGGAGCCACACTTTGACAGGAAACTCTTACAAGCTTTCTGCTCCTCTTCTGCAATACTCTTAGCCCTAAGTGTGGGAGTGTTTTGTAGATGTAGTCATTGGGACTGAACCCCACTACTCTGCAATTTGTTTGGTTGTGGTTTTCTGTAATAGTCTCTGTCTGCTGCAAAGAGAAGTTTCTGTGGTAATGCTTTGTTTGTTAATCTAACAAATACAGCTTGCCTGAGATCAGAGTGCAGAGCTAAGCCGCTAGTTAGCCACAGCGGCCAGGGCAGTGGTGGCATACACCTTTAATTCCAACACTCAGGAGGCAGAGACAGATGGATCTCTGTGAGTTCAAGGTCACCTTGGGCTACACAAGATTGATCCAGTCTGAAAGAGAAACAGAGCCAGGTGGTGAAGGCTCACACCTTTAATCCCAGCACTAAGAAGGTAGAGACATGAAGTAATATGGCTGGGCAGAGAGAGGCTATAGGGCAGGAGGAGACAGGAGCTCAGGATTTTGCCCCCTTTGGTCTGAGGATTTGATAGAGGCAAAAGGTCTCTTTAGTGGCTGCTTCTTTACTTCTCTGATCTTTCAGCGTTTTCCCTGATATCTGACTCTGGGTTTTTATTATTAAGACCAAACAGAATTCACACTACAAGCTTCCCTGTTAAGGGTGAGGACTACAAGTATCTGTAGGTAAAGTTTAGAATGCTGGCAGGGATCGTGCTGCTTTGGTAAAGTGATGGCTGTAGGTTCTCCCCTGAGATCCATGACTTCACTGAGTTGTGAGCTAGGTTTCCAGGATCAGCATGAATTCTCTCTCACTGAGCAGGTCTTCAGTCCATTAGAGCTGCTGGTTACCACAAGGCATATGAGCCACACTGCACCCTTGTGGTCATTGTGCTGTGCTGGTTGTTGATGTAGTGCATGGGGTCACAGCTGATCGGTTGGTTGCTCCCTCTTTTGGAAGTTTGCATGGTGTTTTCTGGTACTATGAAAGCTAGTCCTCAGAGATGGGATATTTAGGACTAACTAGATAATAGTTAACTGCCTACTACGAAAGTATTTATGTTCCCCTTCTACTGATGCAAATACATATGTGTGTCTTAGTTAGGGTTTCTATTTCTTTGAAGAGACACCATCACCACAGCAACTCTTATAAAGAAAAAAACAATTGGGGCTGGCTTGCAGTTTCAGAGGTTCAGTCCACTATTATTATAGTGGGACATGACGGCATGTAGGCAGACATGGTGCTGGAGCTAAGAGTCCTTACATTTCGATTCAGAAACAACAGGAAGTGGTCTGTGACATGGGGAGTAGCTTGAGTATAGGAGACCTCAAAGCCCCCCACTATAGTGACACACTTCCTCCAACAAAGCCATATCTTGTAATAGTGCCTCTCACTTTGGGGGCTATTTTCTTTCAGTCTACCACAATGTGGCACCCCAGAAGCTGACTTCAGGTGCTTTTGTTCTTAGCTCTCTACTTCATATATTGAGGCAGGTTCTCTTACTAAAGCCGGAGCTTGTGCTTTAGGCTGTTCTAGCTGGTCAGCTTGCTCTGGTGATTCTTTCTCCACCTTTCCAGTTCCACGACAGGCTACCATGCCAAACCAGCTTTTACTTGATTCTGAGATTTGCTCTCTGTTTGTGGGATTGTGTAGGAAGGATTAGGAGGTGTTGGAGGAGGTGTGTCACTGGGGTGAGCTCTGGCCATTCTTAGGCGCTTTCTCTCTCTCTCTCTCTCTCTCTCTCTCTCTCTCTCTGTCTCTGTCTCTCTCTCTCTCTCTCTCTCTGCTTTCCATATGCTAATCAAGATGTGAGCTCTCAGATGCTTTGCCTTGCCGCTCTGCCCTACTGTGATTGATTCTTAGCCTTCTGAAACTGGAAGCCCAATTAAATGCTTTCTTTTATAAATTGCTTTGGTTGTGGAGTTTTTTCACAGCAGTAGAAAAGTAACAAAGGCACTGCTCAATATCTGAAATTTACTTTCTGCTTTTCAGGTGTAAAGGGGATACTACCACCAGAATAATCTGAATGCACTCAGGCATTAGAAATGCCCAAGCATGCAAACTTGATCGAATGCAACCTCCAAATGAGGTTGGATTCCTCTAAAACAGCAAAATTGTCCTCAAAGCCATAAAACGTCCATTTGCTTTAAGTTTCCCTATTTGATTTAACCCAATATCTCTATTCTTGTCCCACCATCTAATGTAAGCAAATTTCTGTGTTTAAATTGTCAAACTGAAAACAGTTCTCTGACTGGACCAGCCTGCACACTACACTTGGAGCAGCACTGATTAGCATGCAATGTATTTCTTACATGGCCCAAAATATTTACTCTTTCATCTTTTTCTATGCTAAGCAAATGAACACACAGGAGTACAATGAAACAAAATATTTTAAATATACAATTTCATAAATGTAAAGTAGCTATTTTAAAATAAAGGATACGGATTTCTGTAACAGCCTTCAAGGAACTTAGGCTACTTGGAGTTATACCTAAAACCAAAAGATATCCCATATTTATATGGATATTTTTAACCATTTCCATAAAACAACTCCAATAAAATTTGTATAACTTTTACTAAGTAAGTTAAAATATTAAGATATAGCTATAAAATAATGCAAATTAGGTTACATTTTCAAAAAAAGCAACTGAATAAGCAATTACCTTGAACGTCGTGAGGTTGGGATGCAACGGAAAAGACCGGCACTTCGAATATGTTTTCTCCAGTTTCAGAACCAGGAAACTCATCCTTTGCTTTCACTTTATTTGTGGAATACTGAAGTTTCTGCTTATTATTGCTGCAGTTCCACGAATTCTTCTTGTTTATTTTTGTTTGGGTAAGTTTCCCTGGGCTAACATGAGAATCCAAGTTTGTATTTTCATAAGCACAATCACATTCATGTATTTTGCCATATGTTCTAAATAACCTGAAAAAAATCCACGTTTTCTGCTTCTAACATTTGCTTACAAACTAGCACAAAATATTCTCTTAAAATGTCTGTAACTACAATTTATCACTGATTTATGTGTCTTTATTTTCCTAAAACTCATCTAAGATTTTGTGACAGCTTGTCTCTAAGATGGATCCAGTGATCCTTGTCTCTTAGTCACAGGCGTTATGGTCTACAAGCTGAGTCACTGAGTCAGAACTGATGATGACACAGGATAACAATCTAGTACGTAATACTGTAAGTACTCTCTGTCAGTGGTTCTCAGTCTTCCCAGTGCTGCAACCTTTAATGCAGATATTCACGTTGTGGTGGCCCTAAACATATTATTTTCATTGTTACTTCATAACAACAATTTGACCATTATGAATTGTAATGTAAATACCTGTGTTTTCCAATGGCCTTAGGCCACTCCTATGAAAGGGTCATTGACTCACAGGTTGAGAACCTTCCATTTTTATATATTGCCTTCAGCCATATTTATTTTCACTTTTTACCCTTAGGTTGGTCTTTAGGTTATGAAACAGGATTTTGTCTTTAACACAGTCTCGTGTGTCTATGTTTCCTCTGGAGAAATCCCCAGCTATGACCAGACATAGAAGATGCCTGTTATCTACATATTGAAAGGGTATTCTGACAAGCAAAACTTATCGTTTGTAAAGCATATGATAACTATCAATCATGCCATTTGTGCCAGAAGATGCTGATACATATATGCATAAGTATAGTTCCTGGTCAACCACATCTGTACTGAATACCCAAGAAGTAAACTTAGTATATTTATTCTTATCTTTTTATTTAAAGAATTTTTGAGATGTTTAAAATTTTTATGTGTGCAGGTACCTTGCCTATATTCATGTGTGTGTGGGGTGTGTGTGTGTGTGTGTGCATTGCCCATGGAGGTCAGAAGAAATAACCTATGATTAAGGTTACAGATGGTTGATAGCTACCATATGGGTGCTGGGAGTTGAACTTGGGTCCTCTGAAAGGGCAGTCAGTGTTCTGACCCACTGAGCCACCCCTCTAGCTCCATGAGCTAAGTATATTAACAAACCAAACTCTCCAAATATTGTGGGGGTCTGAGTGAGAAATGCCCCCCCTAGGCTCTGGTACTGGAACATTAGTTCCCAGCTGGTGGTGCTGCCTGGGGAGGTTGAGATGATGCAGCCACCTCAGCCACCACCAGGTTTCTCTTTCTATTTTGTGCTTGCATCTGAAGATGTTTCGCTCTGGGTTTCCTGACCTGCTCTCCTGCTGCCTGCTGTTGTACTCCCTGCCATGACACACTCTTATTCTTCTGGAACTAGAGGTCAAACACTCTTTCTTATGAAAGTTGCCTTGGTCACGGTTCTTTATTACAGCAACAATGTTGTGGGAGTAACTTCCGCTGCCTCAACCAATAGTCGCTGAAATACGAGCCCACAGTGCAGCGGGGAGCGACTTCCGCTCCATCAGCCAATAGCTGCTGAAATACCAGCCCAGTGGGGTGTGGTATATTTCTCTTTTAAAAAGAGAAACAGATCCGGATCAGGCTCTCTTGGTTCCGGCTCTTGGTTCTGGTGCTTGCTCCCGGCTCCTGCTACAGGCTCCTGCTCCCAGCTCCTGCTCCTGCAACTAGGCTCCCTTCCTGACGGTTTATGGTGTATGTAAGTTTTACCCCCCAAAATAAATAACCCCTTAAAACATAACTGGTGTGGGATTGATTCGCTGATACAACAAAAAATAACTAATACACACATCCAATATTTCTCTGTAAAATTCTTCAAAACAAGGAGACACCATCTTTATATCTATTCTTTGTTATCTAACTGATCAAAATAATTTGCTCATGTTAGCCTTAACATGAAGTAAATATCAATGTTCCTAAGGCAATACTCACAACTTACAGAAATTGTCTAAAGATTAAGAAAAGAATGAAATAATATTGATCCCCTATTGTCAAAAGTAAATTTAGCCAAAGTACTTTGAAATATGTACTTAGTCAAATTTCTTTTTTGTTTTTTCTTAAAGTTTTTCATTATTTTTTTCATACTTAGCCAGGTGATGGTGGCATATAAACCTAGTCCCAGCACTCAGGAGGCAGAGCCTGACAGAACTTTGAATTCGAAGCCAGGCTCTACACAATACAATGAAAGCAAGTGTCAAAAAAACAATAAAAAATTTCATACAAAAAAATCTATAAGGAGTAAATCCAAAGGAGCACTATACAGACAGACTTTTTAAAATTTTTTACTTAGTCTTGATATATATTTCTTGTGTGTAAGAAAAAAACCTAAATCTTTCAAAAATCTACACAAAAATTTAGAATAAACTTTGTAAAATTTCATACTCAACTGCTGAGACAGAAAATTCAAACATGTAGGTGACAAGCAGAATCCACTATAAGGTGATTCTGGGGATGGGAAGGAGCTTATGCCACAGGTGACTGCACACACTGCGCTGTTACTGTTAAAATCAACAACTGGAACCAGACAACCTGGACTCAAGCACAAAGATCAGCTATTCTCTAGCTGAATGATCTTAAAGTTATTATGAGTTTGAAATAAGCTTTAATAAAGTATATGGGCATCGTTTAGACTCCAGTTACCAATACTCTATGGAGCTCTCTAGTCCCCTGAAAATCTCACTCCATGAGTTCTTCACGTCTTCAAGTTCACTGATACTTTATTTCCTCCATAGTCTTAAAAAACATGGCTATGCCTTGAAAACTTCTTGCTTCTTAAGATTTCTTTGAGGAAACCCTTAGTTCTTTTACTTCTCGGGTACTTGAAAACTGGGACGTTTCCTTTATTACAATCTAGATCATTAGTCCACTCCAACAACAACTGTGTCTATGTTAGGCATAAATTCCAGTATCCTTAACATTTGACATGTATCAGTCAATGGTTACTTTAGAATCCTTTTTCCTCTTTCTTCTCTCTTTCTTTCTTTCTCTCTCTCTCTCTCTCTCTCTCTCTCTCTCTCTCTCTCTCTCTCTCTCATTTCGAGACAGGGTTTTTCTCTGTAACTTTGGAGCCTGTCCTGGAACTCGCTCTGTAGACCAGGCTACAGAGATCGCCTGCCTCTGCCTCCCGAGTGCTGGGATTAAAGGTGTGCCACGACTTCTTGTTGCTATCTTAATGGCTGCCTTTCTGACTGGGGTGAGAAAAATCTCAATGTAGTTTTGTTTGCAATTCTCTGATGGCTAGTAATGCATACTTTTTCTGTTTATTAACCATTTGTACTTTTTTAAAACTACTCATTTCTTTAGCCCGTTTGTTGAATGGATTGTTCCAATCCAATTGGATTGAGTTCTTTATATGTTCTAGCTATTAATTCTATCAAGTATATAGCTAGTGAAAATTTTCCATTCTGTAAACTGCATCTTTTGATTGTTTCCTCTGTAACAATTATATTAACATTAATCTCAGAGCAACTGGACTTTTCAGAAAGTTTATACTTTTGCTATCATAAAGTGTTTTTCCTACCTTTTCCATTAGTAGTTTCAGAGTCTAACATTAAAGTCTTGGTGCTCTTGGAGGTGGATTTCATAGGTAGTGAGAGATAGTTCCATTCTTTCATAGGTGGATATCCTATGTCACTGAGTCCATACATGCAATGTGTTAAACTTACAGACTGTACACAACTGGGCTATATTTCTGCTCTTTTGTCCTTGCCTTGACTTTGGTTTTGGTGTCAGGGAAACACTGGCTTTGTTAAGAGTTTGGCAGCATCCTTCCCCTTCTATTTTATGACCTATCTTAGTTCATAACACCAGAACTAACTAGTACTGGTGTTAGCTCTTTTTAAAAGTCTGGTAGAATTCAGCCGTGACTCAAGCTGGGCCCGAACTCTCTTCAAATGATTTTATTTATTACTGTTTCAATATCATTGCATTTATAGACCTGTTTGTCTCATTGTGTTTTAACTTTGGTAGATTAGATTCATCCAGAAATTCATCCATTTCTTTTATATTTTCCAGGTTATTGGAATATGAGTTTTTAAGGTATATTCTAATTATTTTTGGAATTCTATTTGTATCTGTGGTAATATTCCTTTTTCAATGTCCATTTTTATTAATTTGGGATTCTCCTTTTTCCTTTCAGCTAGTTTGACTAGGGACTTTTATATTTTTTTATTTTAAGAACTACCTCTAACTGATTCTAAACAATGTTGCTGCTTATTCCTATTTCCTTAACTTCTGCCCTGATATTTCTCCCCACTTATCAATGCTGACTTTGGCTTGCTTTTCCAAAGCCCTAGGGTTCATCACTGTTCACCTGAAATCTGGCTTTCATTTGTTTCTTTCTGAGATACGGTCTCACTGTGTAGCCCTGGTTGGCCTAGAGTTGCCCTGTAGATCAAGCATGCCTGGAACATGTGCTGATTCTCGTGCCTTTGCCTCTGAGTCTGACGTCACAGGCATGTCCCCTCACCTGAGCTATCTCTGCTTCTGCTTGGTTTGTTTTACTTGGCATCTAAAGCACAAGCCTCCTCTGATGGCCACTTCTGCTACATTAGACAGGCTTGGGTGCGCTGTGTTTCACGTCACTCTATTTTAAGAATACTTTGTTTCCATTTGATTAAAGAATGTTTTGCATGTTGCTCAGTGTCCATGAGTTTGTGTACGTTCTTTAGTTTCTTTTTTTCATGCCTCAGACTACTTTTTATTTTCAACTACATGATTTCACGCAGCAATTCTTCTAAATAGTGACATAAAATAGATTTCCTTGTGTATAAATAACTTCCATACTCTCCACAGAGTCAATGCTCAAAGGTGCTAGAACACATCACTCCTACAGTGTTCTTGTATCCAACAAAGTCAATGAACAATATATAAATACTTAAGTCCAATATTAAAAGCTCAGGCACTTGACTAACTTTAATAAGGTTTCTTAAACTATTTCAATAGATCTAAAATGCATATATATATATGCACATATATATATACACTTTTTAAAGAAAGATTATTCTCAACTTTTCTATAAAAATAAGTTTGATGGTTTGGTCCATCTAACTTCACTACAAGTATGAACTGTTAGTATATAGTAAGGATGCTAAGAAGAAGAAATTTCCAAAATCAAGAGAGACCAAGAGCAAAGTAGAACAAAATTGCCCTGCTAAAGTAAATTTTTTTCTGTTTTCAAGTTGTTTTTCTTATGTATGTTAGTTAAAAGCAGTAGGACGCTAACACATGTGAGATCACACAATATACATATGTGGTCTCTGTCTCTGGTTTGTCATGTTACTTTTAACCTATTCATCCACTGATTTGGGTCAGTTTCTCGTTCTTTAGTTTCCTTTACTTTGGTCTGTAGTGTTAGCCTATTGTGGTCAGATAGAACATAAGAAATTATTTCAGTTTTCATACATCTGTTCTATCACAGAAAATGTTCCATGGCTGCTGACAATGTGTACTCAGCCGAGTTTGGATGGAATTTCTGCAGATGTTTGGAGGCTTTGATCTCTGATGCCACTTACTTCATGTTGTTTTAACTAAGTCTCTACGGTTCTAGTTTATTGATAAAGACTGGGGAGCAGAGGCAGAGAAGACCCAGCTGCTTCCTTCCTTCCTCCGCCATCGTCCCACAGCTCCTGAAGGCAGGAACTTCGGTCCCCAAGAGCGGACTCCAGGCCTGTAATGTCAGCACATACACTATGTTGCCGCTGTCTTTCTCACTCACCTCCTATTGAATGTAATTCCATTCAGCGTACACCTAATCCTCACCTTTGCTCAGGAGATCGCGTAACTATTAGTTACCTTTTCTTGAATGATGGTGTCCCCTCTCCTCCATCCTCTGCAACATTAGGTGATTCTGAATCACCAGGACCATTCTTAGCAGGTGGATTCTTAGTGCCCAGGTGGTCTTTATATTTCTGAGATGAGCCATACACCAGCTTGCCAGGAAAACGGGATGACAGAAATAAGTCATCGTTACTTGCTCCTCCTAAATTTAGGGAATCTTTACCCACATTATATGGAAAATGGAATTTTTGTGTTGGTGAAATACAATTTTTGTCTTCATTAATGATCTGCAAATTTGATGTTATCATTTTTGGTATCTTTTCTTGGCCTACAAGAAAAGAAATATACTAATTACTAATTATTATATATTCCATGTTCTTTGTGAAAAGAAATTTTCTAAATAATGACAGAAAATCTCAATTAAAAGTTTCTAAAGGAGGCCAGTGACATGACTTAGCAGGTAAAGAATCTGCTGTCAAGCCTGAAAACCTGCATTCTGGTCCCAGGACCCACATAGTGGAAGGAAGAAATTGACTTCTATAATTTATCCTCTGACCTCACAAACACTGTGGCAGTAGCTCCCATATACACAGACACTAAATAAACATAACAAAGTTCAAATTTTTCTAAAGAACTTACTAGATAAACACAAGAATCGAAAGACTCAGTACAATAGTAAGATAATCTGTACACTGTAGTCATAAAATAAAGATGCTTATTTCTGGAGGCAGACAGACCTCATCTACACAGTGAGTTTCAGGCTAGCTAAGGCTACACAGTGAGCCCAGCATAAAAAATAATTACACAAATTCATATGTAAACATATATAAATTACGAGTCATATTAAAACATTAAAGTGTTGAATATTATCATATAAGAAATATACATTATATGAACGTGCTTGTTTAGGGGAGAAATTTTTTGTAGTATGTGTTATGCTCTGTGAGTGTGTCAGCAGCAGTACACACAAGCGTGTGACAGTGTGTGATACTCTATGTAAGTGTTAGCACCAATACACACAAGCGTGTGAGTGTTGTGCTCTATGTGAGTGTGTTTATTAGCAGCAGTACACACAGCCTGTGACTGTGTGATGTACTCTATGTGAGTGTGTTAACAACATTACAAACAAGCGTGTGACAGTGTGATGTGCTCTATGTGAGTGTGTTTACAGAAGTGAATGCTCTAGATCCTGAGATTTGATGGACACGTGAAAAAAGGAATTAATACTTTAATATGCTAGTAGATTTTTTTATACTGACATCAACTACACAAGTTTGGCTTTACAAAAAGCATGATAATTTACCTAACAGTTTATGACTTTCAATTTCTTCCTCTAACGCTTGAATATCTGGAATTTCTGAAATCAGTGGAGCTGGAGGGAGAAACCAATCCAATGATTTCCCCTTAACTGGAAAGCTACATAGAAAACAAAATGTGAATATATGTCAATAAAGACAGGCTATCAAAAACCACTTATTTATTAAACATGACTCAAATACAAACTTGGTGCGGGAGAATGGTCTCTATTCTGTCAATTATATTTTAAATAAATGCTGATTGGCTGGTAACCAGGCAGGAAGTATAGGTGAAAAAAAAACAGACAGGAAGTAGAGGTAGAGCAATGAGAACAGGAGAATTCTGGGAAGAAGGATGCTTTTTCTGCAGTCCTGCCTAGACCACAGAAGCAGGATGTGAGCTGCCCTGCTGAAAAAGGTACTGTGCCATGTGGCTAACATAGATAAAAAAATAATGGGTTAATATAAATTACAAGAGTTAATAAGCAGGGGCTGGAGAGATGGCTCAGTGATTAAGAGCATTGCCTGCTCTTCCAAAGGTCCTAAGTTCAATTCCCGGTAACCACATGGTAGCTCACAACCATCTGTAATGAGGTCTGGTGCCCTCTTCTGGTCTGCAGACATACATACAGACAGAATATTGTATACATAATAAATAAATAAATAAATATTTTTTAAAAAAAGAGTTAATAAGAAGCCTGAGCTAACGGGCCAATCAGTTTACCATTAATGTAGACTCTCTGTGTGATTTTCTTTGGGTCTTACCAGCTGTGGGAATCAGGCAGGACAGAAACACCAACAAGCAGGCCCTCATGTTATTCAAGCTCTTGTAAATAAGTTTTCTGTCATGGTTTTGCTTTGCCCCTGTATGGCAATGCTCTCATCTTGTCCCTGTGCCACAGGACTGACACACATGGCTGTGTGAGGACACTAGCTAAATGGGAGCTGGACCCCGCTCCACTGCCCCTCACTCAGCTTCAGCAGACAACCACTTGTGACATACCTCACCGATAATTACAGGAAATCAGCACGTAAATGTCACCATTACTATATTCTAGATTAATCCCATAACTATGAAACATCGGAAGCCCCTAAAGTCATAAAACTGAAAAGAACACATTGGATGACCTTCTTTCAGGCACACTTACTTTCCAGCTTCATCTGCGCTGCTGAGAAAGAAATTATCCAGGGAGGGGAAGCAGCTGTTTGACTTCGGCATTGCTGAACACCAGATTCTGTCTGAAATCTACGAGATACAAGAAAAGGTAGGGTTACAGGGATGTAAAAGTGATTTCTAGACAGGTAAATGAGAATCACTAATTTACCAGAATGCTTTCTAAATACAGCCACACACAACTCTTTAGCTCTGTCTTCTGTAAATTCTTTGAAAATGCCTCAACACGAAACACATTATTCTCTGTCCATTCCTGTTTCACCATGTGTTCCTCTTTATACTGCACAAATGCCTGTCTGTTCCTGTGTTTCCCCGTGTTCCTCTTTATACTGCACAAATGCCTGTCTGTTCCCGTGTTTCCCACATGTTCCATCTTTATACTGCACTAATGCCTGTCTGTTCCTGTGCTTCCCCGTGTTCCTTTCTTTACTGTACGAATGCCTGTCCATTCCTGTGTTTTCCCATGTGTTCCTCTTTATACTGCATGAAAGCTCAGAAAGTATACTCTTCACCTGACAAGTTCTGACGCGTCCTCCAGTGTGTGGGTCCCTACTGTTTAAACCACACACTGCTCACTTTCATTTCAGCTGTCTCCCCCACTACACATCGAAACTGATCTCATTTTTCTAAATCCTGAAACATAATGGCATGTTCTATAGGTCAAAGCATGAAATTGAATACATAAATCATAAAACATAAATTATATTTCCATTTCTTATGAGATAGTCAATAACTTGTCCTCAGTACAGAAATTAAAATTTTAAAAACTACATGAATACCTTCTCATGGCAAAAGTTCATTTCATGTTAGAAAATATGTCTCCAAGATTGAGAGTTCTCTAATGAAGACATAAATCACATGTAGGAGGAACATAGGAGGAAGACTATTTCCAGTGCAGATCTTGACAAGACACCACAGGAGAGAGGTTCAATTCTGCACACACTTTAGGATGGTTCTTACTGAACCAGAACACTGTGTGTTGTTCATTGTTTTAGTTATCTGGATTATATTTATTTATTTTTCTGCTCTTCTCAATGTATTAATCACTCAGTCACTGTCAGAGGAAATATACAGCATGTGACAACTGATAATCCAGCTGTCAGCCCACCAGAGGAGTGAGTCTGGCGGAGGTTAACCCCGTCCAGGCCAGGTCTAGAGGACTATCAACCCTGGAAACTGTTGCCCACTTTTGCTAAAGCAGTTTGGTGTCTCTCCAGTACCATGCATTTTCATATGATGTGTATATGTAATCTCATGATTGCATCTCAGTCTTACGGGCACATATGTCTGTGGGTGGTCAGGAAGATGACTTTTCATTTAGCTATATAATTGTGGTATATAGACTATGTGCTGGCATGTGCTTCATAACTAGATCTATTTGTCCTACAAGGACTATAGCTACTTCAAAACCTGCCTGTAACTGCCGAAGGAGACAGACACCCCACCCCGGAACCTTGTAAACCACGAGCCTCATGGCAAAATACACAATAATAGGAAAGAGTTCATTTAAGATGTAAGAATTAGTTAATAAGCCTGAGCTAATAGGCAAGTAGTGTTTTAATTAATATAGTTTCTGTGTGATTATTTTGGGTCTGGGCGGCAGGGAATGAATGAACAGCCTCCACACTACAAGCTCCCTGTCGCTTAACCTAGGAATGTGCTTCTGACCAATGAGAGGAAACTCTTGTAATTTTTTATTGCTTCAGGGCTCCTGTAAGGAGACAAATTTTGAAGCTAGGAGAAGAACTAGGGGGGAAAACTCTAGGAGTAATTAGAAGTAGGATGGGAGAAAGAAACTGATAAGGAAAAGCAGTACTGAGAGAGAGAGGTCGCCCTCATATAGCCTAAGAAAAAAGTTCTTTTCACCTGTTGTAGCATCCAATCTGAACCATGAAGAGAGTCTTTGGGCTGGACCCCAAAGCTCTTGGTAACTCACCAACAAAAAGGAAAACAAAACATAAAACAAGTAAACACGATTCTATAAACATCTAAAACACCATCTTGACTGCATGATAACACGCCTAGGAAAACAGCAGAAAGAACGAGAGTCATCCTGAAACACACTAACAAACCTTTACACCCACTTATGCAAACAATTTCAGAACCTGAAGACAGTTATTTGAAAACCCTATGCTAACCAACTTTGTATTTATTGTCCAAGAAACTGCAATGTTTCCCGTCTAGTGTCAGAACTGTATTTTAATCAACAAAAGGTTTATTAAACCCCATCAAACCAGGTTTACATGGCTCTGCTACCTCAGAGTTTAAGTGGAAAATCTCATTACTATCATGTATGATCAAATTCTTTCTTCTAAAAGAAAATAAGACAACAAAACATATTAAAACTAATTTTAAATATTAAACTATATAAAAAGACCTCCTAAATACACAAAAAATACTGTCACAAGATTTTTTTTCTAGCTCTAGTACAAAGTAACAGCAAACTTATTTTAGTACATAATAAAAACACCATATATTAACACACACATACATTAACATATATATTATTTCTGAAGCACTCTGATAACATTTTTATCTAAAATTTCCCAACCCTCTCTCCTGCATTATTTTTCTTTGTAACATTCCTCTATAATTGGAACCGTGTATTTAGTTATCTTTCCGCAAAGCAATGAAAGGACTTTTTTCTTAATGTGTTTCAGTAACCTAACACAGTTCCTGACATAGAGTATATAATCAATAAAAATTCATTGTGGAATGCATGTACTAGCAATCAACTTATAAAATAAGACAATTTCAGTTAACTAATTACCCCCAATTAATATTAATCTTAAATTTTTGAATTTTTCTTCTAGTTCAAGTCTCATGCAGTCCCACCATTAAGGCTCTAAAAAGACAGTGAATTTGGAACTTCCATCATGTGAATAAATCATTTTTAAAAAGCATAGTATCTAAAATAAACCCTGCCATTTTGACGTAAGTTGATAAATATTTAATTAACGTTTCAGGGTTAGATTCAGATACTCTAAATTACCACAAAGTTCTTATTTCAGATTTAGGCATGGTGGTGGGAGTGTAAAATCCAGCCCTGGGAAGGTGGAGGCAGAAGCATCAGCCTAAGGCCGGTCTCAGCGGAGGTCAGCCTGGGCCACAACAAGAAGAAACAAGTTTCCCCACAAAATAAGAGTCCCAAACGCAGTAAGTAATCACCTCAAGTACTTTACAGTTCCTAGTTTTTTGCTTGTAGAAATTAACACATTTTTCTCTAATTCTATTGGCAACTTTAATATCGCATTCTCTGTAATCTTTCACCGAGTGTATAAAATTACCAGGTTGTGGGTTTCTTATAAATTGTACATTTAAAAACGTACTTAGACGTGGGTGGCTCACGAAGGCGATGCCAACAGGAGAGGCTGAAGCAGGTGTAAGGGATGCACAGGGAACTCCGGGATAGCCTAGGCTAGACCTGGGGTCCCTGTTTCAAACAATAAACAGATGCTTAGTTCAGAAGGGCTCGAGTCCTCACGTGATTACTGACGGAGCACAGACCCGGGTGACGGAGCCCCGCAAACGCCCCC